GCCCAAGAATTGTCCTTTCTTTAAAAGTATATTCAGAAGTTTCTTCTACATGTAAGAGTAATGTGAAAAATAGAAGTATGTGTTACTAGAAGTATACATATATTTTTATTACTGAGTAAAGACTTTTTGCCAGAAACCTAATCCCTCTTTGTTTTTGTTTGCAGAGAAGAAAGGAGCCTGTTTTTCACTGCTTTTGTGATACCTGTGATCGTGGTTTTAAAAATCAAGAAAAGTATGATAAACATATGTCAGAACATACGAAAGTAGGTTTCTTTGTCCTGAAATTTATTTAGCAGAATGGATATATTCGTTAGAAACTCAACTGTTTTTCCTTAAGAGTTTATAATTTTCATAGAAATATTGGTATAGTAACTTTACAAATTGGGACAGTGACCCTGGGTTTGCATATTGATAGTGGAGAGCCCCCTGCTTCAGGAAGAGGCAGTGAAGCAGAGGAGAAGTGCCGTGTGTGTGTGTGTGTGTGTGTGTGTGTGTGTGTGTGTGTTTGTGTCTATGTCTTCTTGGCTTCTTAGAGGACTGACTTCCTCTCCATTTGCTCTGTGCACTTAGTTCTTTCTCCTGTAAGGCTTACCTTGACCCTTTAACCAGAATATAATTTGCAATGTCCACTCATTCTCTGAGAATGGCCTGAGCCATATTAAGTGATTTTTAAAGAAGATTTTAATTATAGTATTCATAATTTGGAAATGTTATTTTCATTCTATAGGCATGCCCCTCAACTTTAGGAATTAAGGATATTTTACAGCATTGCTGATGTCATGCATTCACTCAGGTGGAGAAGTAAATAATATGCATTACTATACTGTATACTCTGAGAATGTCATTCTTTTTAAAAGCAACTCTGTTTTGAAGAGATCTTTGTTTTGCTATTGAAATCACTATTCATACCAGCAGTGACATAGATGAGAAGGCAATGTAATGACTAGAATATGTGTCTGTATGTAATAGTAGGGTAAATTTAATAAAGAAACATTGAATAGTCTAAAATAATCTTTTTTTTTTTTAAATTTTTAATAGTGTCCTGAAGTAGATTGTTCTTTTAGCGCACATGAGAAGATTGTCCAGTTTCATTGGAGAAATGTAAGTTCATAAGTGTTTTTGGATGCATGCTATTTTTGCATCTCTTATTCAGTTTTATCCTTGCAAATGACATGTGAAGTAAGTTACTGACTCTGTTTAACAGATTAAGAAAGCGATTTGCTCATGACCTCAGAAGTGATTCTTGCATTTGAGTTACTGATTCTAAATTCTATGCTGTTTTATTACACTATACTCCTTTACATCACTATATGAATAATTTCTTTAGCTTCCTCCTTCAATTTTGATTGGTAGGTCATTTTGGGTATTTGATGTCAGTTCATAAAATGAATAACATCTAATTCATACTCAGAATTATGTTACTCCCCCCCCTATTGTGCTATTTTAAGTAACCAAAAATTATTACTATGTTTTTCTTTAAAGGAATTGTCATAGTATGGTTATATACAATCCATACACTTGTAGTTTTAAAATTGTCTCTGCCTTAAATTTAATGGTGGGTGCAAAGTTTTCACTAATCCCTCACAATATTTGAGAATGTCAGAAGGATAAACATGCTTCCTGAAGTTCAGCAGGCATTTTCTTCCTAGATGCATGCTCCTGGTATGAAGAAGATCAAGTTAGACACTCCAGAGGAGATTGCAAGGTGGAGGGAAGAAAGGAGAAAGTGAGTAAAAGATTCAGAACTAGTAAAATAACT